CCAGGCTTGGGCACCTCCCCCACCCGCCATGGCCCTCTGTCTTTTTCTTCCTCTAAGACAGCATCCCACAGCTACATTTTTTCCCAGCCCACCCTCCCTGCAGGCCACCAACATGTCCTACTGTGTGAACCTCCAGACTGTCATCTCAGCCACCCCCAGCCTCTGCAGAATGGCCCCTCCTGGGGCCCACACAGTTGGCGGTGGGTAAATGCAGACACAGAGAGGGCATGCATGTCTTCTTTTTGGGAAACATTTGGGAAGCATTTGAGGAAGGGATGTGTAGCTTCCCTTATCCACCCTGTGGTTCACAACCCTTCACATTCAGGAAGTTCTCTCTGATGTCTGATCTCGGGCTTTCCTACTGTAGCCTATTTCCTCCTCTTCCTATGGAAGTGTATTGAACACTTAGTCATTAAGTCACAGAAAGCTTATTCCCAGCAGAAGGGCAGCTGATTTAGGGTAAGAGGAACTGAATGGAGGTCATCTCCAGGGAGAGAGGACAGAGCGTGAAGGAATGGATATAAGGGCCAGGTTCAAATATCAACCCTCTTACCTACCTACTAGCTGTGCATCCTATGGCAAGTTATTTAATCTCTCGGACCCTCAGTCTCTGCGATTGTACAGTGGGTTCACGCTTACCTTGTGCATATAGGTCATGAGGATGGTTATGAGGATTGATGACCACGGAAGCAAAGACCCTAATACTGTGCCCAGGGCTGCGTTAACATTCAATGAGTGCTTTGTTGCTATTGTGTTAATATTATGAAAGGCGTCTCCAGGCCAGGGCCAGGAAGAGGTAGGCCAGGGAGGCCCCGGGTGCTCATTCGGGGGGCATTGCTCTCAGAGTGGGGAGCCTCCTTACATTTCTGCCCTGAGCGCCTCACCCTAGCCTGTGCCTTGCTCCAGACTCCCGGGTGTGAGACCCTAGCGTGGTCCTCGAAGAGCAAGACTTGGTTGTCAAGTGGCACTGGGTCCAAACCCTCCCACCTGCTCCTGAGCTCAGTGCTAGTTGTCCTGCCTGGAGGCTAGGGGCATTCTATTCTGGAAGACCCCTGGTGGGGCTGCGGTCAGCTGCCCTCAGCTTTGGAAAGCCTGGGTCCTTAAGATCCAGGTTTTGTCCTGGGACCGGGCAGTGGGTGGGGACAGGTAGGGACAGTCCTTCTGCAGCAGAGCCGCAGGAGGGAAGAGAAGAGCCTGCAGGGAGGCACCAGGCTGACCTGCCCACAGGCTGGCTGGGGACCGGGCTGAGGGGCTGTGAGCTGGGCTCAGCAGTGAGCCTTACAAGACTGGTGCCAGCCCTGGCCAGTTTGGCTCAGCGGTTGGAGCGTCTGCGGTACAGAGAGGCCCGGGTTCGGTTCCCGCTAAGGGCATGTACTTCGGTTGCAGTTTGTCCCCGGCCCTGGTTGGTCGTGCGGGTGGCAGCCACTTGATGTGTCCCTTCACATCGATGTTTCTCTCTCTCTCTCTCTTCCTCTCTCTCCCTCCGGCTCTATCTGAACAACAACAACAAAAAAAATGGAAAAATGTCCTTGGGTGAGGATAAAAAAAAAAAGACTGGTGCCAACTCCAATCCTGCCGTGAACTTCCCCCCGAGAACCTGGGCCAGTCGGACCTCTCTGAATCCCAGTTCCCCCTCTGTGGATCAGGGCGGGAGGAGATGGTGCCGGAAGTTCCTCTTAGAGCTGTTCTGAGGAGTGGTGTGCAAGGAGGGAGGTGTATGCACACACGTATGTGTGCATGTGTGTGTGGGGGTGTGCTGAAGGGGCTCTGCCAGCCGTTGGAATTCTGGGGCTACCACCTCAGCACGCACACTGGAGGGGCCTGGGAGCTTCCCTGTAGCACACCCAGGCCCCCCTGCAGGGCCAGGGGTGGCTTGGCCTCGAGAGACCCACCCTCACGGTACCAGTCCCTGGCTTTTTTCATTCCCAGTGGGCCCAGAGCCGGCAGTTCCTGGGAAACAGAAACAGGACTTCAGTCCCGGGAGGACTGGCGGGGGGGGGGGGGCAGCGTGCATGCTGGGCCGTGTTTGCAAACACTGCAGGAAAACGCTGGGTGTACAGGTCAGGAGGGGTTTTTGGAAAATTTTAGCTCTTCAGAAAGCATCTCAACCAGTAAGTTGAAGGTATTTGATGGCTGGCAAGCGTCTTTCTGTGGCCGGCCTCCAGCTGGCACGGGGAGAAGGGTGGGGGCCGAGAGGACGGTGCTCAGATGATTGTTGGCAGGGAGAGAAGTTTCTCTTGCACTGCTGAGGCCTGTGGTTTCTAATATTGACTCCGACTCCCTGGTCTGCTTCGTGCCAGACATGGGAGGGGTGGGGCGGGAGGGTCAAGGTGGGGCAGGGTGGGCCTTGGGAGGGCCTGGGGAGTGTGTGGGGTGGAGAGGATAAATAACTGCTAGCGTTTACCGAGCACTTCCTAAGTGCCAGGCCCTGTTCTAAGTGCTTTATGTGCTTCCTCTCATTTGATTCTTTCAACATAGAGCCAATCTGTCCTGTTGAAGAGCAGCAAGGACGAAGGGCTCTGCTTGAGGTCACACGGTTAGCAGTGGAGAGAGTCAGGATGTGGCCCGGACAGTCTGCTGCCAATGCTGTTAGCTTAGACCAGTGCTTCGCCAACGGTCATGCCAGACCGGGAGACCTGTTAGAAATGCGTGTTCTCAGGTCCCACCAGCGGTCTACCAGCCCTCTGAGGAGGGCCCTCCAAGGGTTTCTGAGGCACCCAAGTTCAAGGCCCCCTGGCTCACACTCTGTCTTCAGGAGAGTCCTGGCCTCCTGGGAGGCTTCACCCGGAGCAGGACGAGGGCTCTCAGGGCCTGTACTAGCCCGAGGCAGGCACTTCATCGCCAGCTTCTCCGTCTCACCATTTCCGTCTTCTCAGCCACCCTGTCTGGCGAGGCTGGTTCAGCAGACTGAAGAGTGAGGGCTTTGGAGCTGGGAGAGCTGGGTTCAGATCTCTGTTCCGCTAGCAGACTGCGTCTGGAAGGCCCCTGGATCTGCCCTCCAGGAGTGTTCCTCCCCCCGCAGGGGGCCAGAGAGGAAGCTTGCTGCCCAGCCCATGGGCTCCTCGGAAGCATTACCGAGCTCTGGACCAGAGGAGGGCCAGGGTTTCCCAGGGGCTCATCTGTCCCCTGCCCAGTGGCCTGTGCCTCAGCAGGGGGCGCTGGGTGAGGTTTAGGGCTGGGCTGGGAGGGGTGGAACTTGTCATCTCTGTCTCCAGAGCCTTCCCCAGGTGAGCCGAGCTGGGTGCTACAGGGGCTGCCTGGTGTGCGTCCCCACCTCCTGTCCCATCCCTGGACCCTGTCCTCCCTCATCCATCCTGAGCTGCCTTGGCCCGGAGCTCCTCTCAGGAGGTTTCATCCCCTGGAGGGAGGTTTTGGCCTCAGCCACCCACCTTCTAGGCCATAGGGGTAAAGTCTGGGCCATTTCCAGAAACGGGCTGCCTTCCGCTGGGCCGGCTTTCTTCCTCCATGGCCGCCTCGGCCCAGTTCTCGCTGGTGCCGGAAACTTCCAGTGGTCATTCTGTCCACGCGGCTGTCTTCAGACACAAACGCCTGCCCCTCAGGTCCCGGAGCTGCGGTGGGACAGGCGTTTCCTGGTCCGAGACGCTGCCTGGGCCTGGTTCCCGCTCATCTCGGCACAGGCTGCTTTCGTGACCTTGACAGTCGTGCTCACGTCCCTCCGCCTGGGTCAAGGGCTCCTCTGGCCACTTTGCTGAGTTGGAAACGGAGCCCTAGAAACTGATCAGGAGGTGGCCTTGGAGAGGGAAGTTTCTCTCCTATTTTGGGGGAGTCCTAGGAACCCGCTTTTGAGGATGCCTTTAGCAGGAAGCACTTCTGTTGGTCTGAGCAGGGGAAGGTGCCCGGGGGTAAGGGGCAGGGGCAGTCCACAGATGTTTACCGATGGCCTGCTGTCCATAAATCACAGTCCCTGGCACGAGGGATATGGCCACTGAGTTGGTAAAAATGTTGCTTAGACTCTGTTATGGAGGCAGGTGGGGTAAGAGTCACAAATAAAACAAGATATAGTCCAAGGAGGCAGCTGACCAGCTACATGGCACAGACAGAAAGACATCCTAGAGCTGAGAGGTGGGAGAGTCCTTCTAGCTGGGGTGTTCAGGGAAGGCTTCACGAAGAAGGGAGCTTGTAGGAAAAGAGGGGAAGCTATTCCATAAGGAAAGACCTGGACAGGAGAATAAGTAAAGGGACCTAATGGGCAGGTCTGGATGGAGCAGAGCTTTGGGGTCTGTGAAGGGGCAGGGCCGATGTGGGGAGGCCCTGAAAGGAGGAGTTAGGCCTCTCATCCTGGCTGCTGCAATTTCACACAAAGAGCAAGAAGTGCAGAGTCCAAGGTGGGGTTCAGATCCTGTGGTCCCCGTTAGTAGTTGATGACTTTGGGCCACTCATTTAACTTCTGCGTATCTGTAAAGTGGGGCTTAAAAATAGTGATGGTACCTACCTCACAGGGTGTTTGTTGTGAACAGAGCAGTGCCGGGTACTTGCTCCTTGTTCCTTTTTAAAAAAATTTTTTTCTTTATTGATTTTAGAGAGAGAGGAAGGGAGAGGGAGAGAGAGATAGAAACATCGATGAGAGAGAACATTGATTGGCCGCCTCCTGCATGCCCCCTACTGGGGATCAGGCCCACAACCTGGGCATGTGCCCTGACCGGGAATCGAACCCGCTACCTCTTGGTGCATGGGTCGACGCTCAACCACTGAGCTACACCAGCCGGGCTCCATGTTCTTTTTTGAGGGGTCAGCGACTGCCTGTCAGAGGCCTGGGTAACATTTGTCCAGCTGGGTGTTTGCAGTACCAACAGGAAGTTTTTTATTTTCCTGGCTGTGCTTCCCAACTTGGGGACAGCCAGGTTACGTCTGAGTCTCGGGTTGGCATCGTGTCCTGCCTCGGAAGGCATTCTGTCCTCGTGGCCACCAGCCTCGGAGAGAGAACCAGTCCAGGCATGTTTGTCCAGAGGCCTCACACTGCTTTTCCCCTTTGTCCACAGCCTATCAACATTGAGAGTGCACCAAAGAATGTAGCAGACACGGTGAGTGGCAGTCGGCGGGACGGGGTGCTGGGGAGGAGCCTGGGAGGCCAGAAAGCAGAAGATGGATTTGGGGAAAGTGAACAGATGTGTTTGGGGACATCCTTCTGGAGTAGATATGGGGAAGTTGGGGGAAGTGGTAGGGACAAGGGTGACGTTGGGAGCTGGGCGACTAACTGACCATCCCTTGTGTATTTGAAAATGGATCGCTGGGCAGGCGGAGCAGGAGAGATGGGGGGAGTGGAGAGAGAGGCCACGGGTAAATGCGGGTTTCTTTATTAAATATGTAGAAATTGAGAAAGCCAGGCAGATCTTTCCGAATAGATCTTTCTGACTTAGCAGAGGGAGAGAGGAAGAGAGGGGGAGAGGGAGAGAGGGAGTTTTCTCAAGGCTGCATGAGGAGGAAGACGAAAAAGTCCATGGGTCCAGCAGCGGGGTACCGGGGTTAGCAGCCAAGCTCCCCGCAATGGCCGGTATCGAATGGCTTGGAATGGAAGACTTGGGTTTCAATCCTAACTCCTCCGAGCTTCTGACTGTGTGACTGTAGGCCAGTCAGGAAGGAGCCTGTCTGTACCTCAGTCTTCTTATCTGCAAAATGAGAATAATAACATTTACCACAGTTGTCATGAGACACAGAGAAGAGGGTTTGATCAACTCTGCGGCCTTTAGTGGACAAAGAGAAATGTGGAACAAACAGCCAAGCCGGCCCCCCACCCCAGGCCCGTCTGCTGACCCCTTCACCTCCTACCCCCGCCAAACCTAGCTGGTGAGACCTGGTGCCTTGTGAGTATTTTCCTTGACTCCCCCTCGTCTCTGTCTCCAGGGAGAAGGAGCCTTCCGGGGTGGAAACACTCGGAAAAGTCTTGAGGAAGACGTAAGTATGGGACGGGGGCAGAGAGGATGTGCTGGGCCCCCGGTGCTCGGAGGGAATGGAAGTGGGTGGGGGGTGTCTCACACCTCTTGTTTGGTGGGGCGGCCCTTCCTCCTCTTCAGAAGGACAGGCAGGGCTGCCTAGCTTGGTTGCTGAGCAGGGAGGAGGGACCAGGATGGTGACAGGTCCCATCTACTTATACACTGGGCCTCAGTCTTGCCCTTGGCCTCCAGCTCAGCTGGGTCCACAGCTCATCTGCCCATCACCTTGCCAGGGTGGGAGGGGGGAAGGGTGGGCTCTGTGCGCCTGGCTGGATGGTGGCTGAGTAGTCACCAAGGTAAGGGGCAAAGAAGAATGGGCAACATTGTAGCAAGAGGGACTCTTGAGCCCCCAGAGGGTCATCAGATCTTGGGGAACTGCAGGCTTGGCTTCTTTGCAGAGAGAAAAATGGCAGAATCCTTTGTGTAGCTTAGGTGCCATTGACTGAGGAGGAAACTGGAAGGTGGGCCAGTGGTCCACCCTGCTCTTCCCGCCATGAGTTTTTGGTGAATCAATGAGCGCATTCCTTAAATGGAAGGACCCAAGAGGAGGGCAGAGGGAGCTCTCCCAGGACCCTGCTTTGAGCAATGCTTGTGTTGAGACTTGTCCTCACACCCCAGGAACAGACGCCCGACAGAGTTGGGCCTTTTTCTTCCCGGCCCTTCTCTGACAGTTTGCCCCTCTGCTGGCCTCTCCATCCTTGCCCGCCCTGATCTGCAGAGGAACAGGGAGTGGTTTTGGCGGTTGGCACAGGGGGAGCTGTTGATGGCATGAGGCCCTATCATCTGACAGCTGCCTGACCCATGGTGGGAAGGGCCCCAGAGGGAGGTGCTGGGCAGCAGGAGGCAGCTTCTGCAGGCAGCAGCTCTTGTGTGGTGAGCCCACCGCCACATCGCCGGGGGCAGCCTGCCGGAGCGTCCCGGAAGCAGCAGGAACATGCCTCTGAAACTAGTGGGGAAGGCTCTGTTCAAGGTATGAGCGGGCCCTGTGGGTACCGAGGACACGTGTCGGAGAGGGGCCCTTGTCTGAGTCTGTGCGGTTTCTGGGGCTGGGGTGCAGGGGAAGAAATTAATTTTTTGTGTACTTGCTACTGAGGATTAACTAGCTTAATGCACACAAAGTATATGATATGCACTCAGTCAATGGCAGATGATCTTATGGCTATTATTTTGACTGAAGGGCAGGAGCTGGGCTGGGTATTTTTTTTTTAATCCCCATGACATCCCCTATGGCAGATGCTGTGACCCCATTCTGTAGATAAGCAAACAGAGACTTGGAGGTGCTCAGTGACTCAGTGCCTTCTCCATTTCTTCCTGGGACCACTGCTAGGGTCTGGTGTTACCCAGGACACCCAACCCTTGGCGGGGGAACAGGGTGGTGGGGTGTGACCCAAGACTTCTAGCCAATGGTCTAGAAACTCTTGTAAGTCAAGTCCTAGAGCTGCTGCTCCCACAATCCCAGCCTGGGTCAGATGGATCCCCAAAGGTAAAGCTGCAGTAAGAGAGAGTGAAGTTAGACATCATGAAGAACTTTTTGACATGAGGGTGTGCATGACTTTGGTCCTGGGGAAGGAAGAGGTGGCTGTGTAGTTGGGGCTGGCGGTTTTATTTAGGAGAAAGTTGTATTGATCTGGGATGAATGTGTGTGTGAGGGGTGGGTAAGGGTGGTGTCTTGTTTGGATGTGGGAGGAGGCACAAGATGAGTTTTGGTTGTTAGTCTAGTTTAAGGGGTACATGAAAGGCTGAGCAGATTCCGGAATGGCCTGCGTGCTGCAGAGGAGAGGAAACCTAAGTTGGAAGGTCCCAGACACCTGCTGCGGGATGGGTGACTTCGGGGTGATTGAGTCAGTCCCCTGCCCAGCCAGTGTGCTCTCCCGCAGTCTACCCCAGGTGAGGGGACCCATTTTTGAGGTGACATGGTCGAAGCCCTGGGCCTGCTGCTGTGATAATATGCCTGTTTGTTGAGCTGTCTTCCTGTGTCTGGCCCACGGCCCAGGATTCAGGGCTGGAAGGGCTGTTTTCCTCTGACAGTCAGTGTGTAGTGGAGTTTGTGGATGGTGTGCTGTGTCGCACTTTGTTTTGGAAAAATCCAGGCTGGTGGGCAGGAAGGAGAGAGGAAGGGGTGTGGCTGGAGGGGCTGGTGTCAGGGGAGGGGGTGGCCACGGCCGCCAGAGGAGACATCAGAATGGGGATGGGCTTCTGACGTAGGCTGGCCACCGATTTCTGGCTGCCTGACATGGCCCCTGGTATTGCTTACAGACCCTCCTCCCAACTGTGCCCCCTGGGGACCGGGGCTCAGGAAACAGCTTTTCTTTTGGTCCAGAGCTGTTGTGTTTGGTCTCTGGACCTCAAAGGAAGGCAGGACTCTCCCCACACAGTGGTTGCTCTAAACCAACCCCGCCCAGGTCCTGGTGTTCCCGCTCCTTGCTGTATGGGGGGAGCAGGTGGATAACAGAGCCTAGGGTCCTAGTCCTTGAGTGCTCAGGAACGGCTGAGTGGTGATCAGCAATGAGGACCAAGGCAAAACGAGTTGGTTGGATCTGCAGTAGGAAGGGTGAGGGTCAGACACCAGGAAGAACTTACTGATAGTAAGATAAGTGAGACCCTGTTTTGGGGAGGCTGTGGAATTTCCTTTGGTGGTGTCCTTTCAACAAAGGAAAGACTATTTTGGTGATGACAATAGGGGAGAGTTTGTCTTGGTGTAAGGGAGTTGGATCAAAAGTCCTGTTATTGATCGGTGTCCTGGTAGGGCCTGGGAGGAAGTTCAAAGCCATATGGATAAAGGATTTTGAGTCTCAGTGAGGAAAAGAATGGGTTACAGGCAGACGGAGAGCTTATCTTTCTTTTCAAAATAAAATCTTTGCAGTAGTCTTTGTAGAGCCCCCTGGTAGTTTTCCCCAAGGGCTCCAGGGGAGCGGGTCAGGGACGCGTATCACCAGGGACTGCGCTAGACCCATTCTGCAGACCGCTCAGTGAGACCAGGCGCTGCCTCTCCCAGGGCTCCGCCGCTGAGTGCTTTTCTCCATAGAACAACGCTGGCCGAGGTCAGGGGCTCCTCCTCTGGTCCCCATGCCTAGAACGCGGCCAGGCACACAGCCTGCAGGCCCAGTGCAAGCTGGCTGAAGGGGGGGTGAGCCCGATGCTGGGTGGCAGAGATGACCACATCTCTCCGCTGCCTCAGCCCTCTGGAGAGGCTGCATGATGAAGCATGCCGGAGAACGCCCCTCTCCAGCCTTGTGTGAGCTCACCTGTGTTTTCTTGAGCGTTAGGTTGGGTTCGCTCACCCGCCTGCTCCCGCACCTCCCGGCCTTCTGTGGTTCTCTGGTTCTCTCTGTGGCTCTGCGTCCGCCAGTGCTCGGACATGTCCCCCGTCCTGTCTGCTTTCTGCCAGTGAGTGTCACATGCCCCCAAACCTTGCACAAAACAGGAAGCCCCATCGGCTAGAGGGCAGCCCAGTGATTCATCAGCGGGTGACTATCCAGCTGTTGGTCCTCATCCTCTGTGATGGGGGTCACTGTCCGGGGCAGCTTCTTCCCCTGCCTCCCCTTCCCTGGCCGGCTTGGTGGAACGGAGCAGGCTTGGACTTTGTCTTATCACCTCTGGAGGCGGCATGGCCAGACTCGGTTGGGGCCAAGTTTTTATTTATCTTCCCTGGCTTTTTTGGGGTGGGGAGGCTAAGGAATGTGGAGTGTTGTAACATGGGGAAGGGGGTTGGGGAAACGGGAGCCAGCTCTCCTGCCCTGCTCATCCTTCTCACCCCTGTTCTGTGGAAGCTCCAGACCCCCCATCACCCCCCACTTCCCTTGCCAAGCCCGTCTCAGTACCCCGTTGTCCCCCTGTGCTCCCGGGGCCTGGACCTGTGGTCCTGGCCACACCTCAAGCCTTGGCTACAGTGTGGCTTCCAGTTGTTTGAAGCAGCTGTGGTGGCTCCTCCAAAAGTGGCTGTGGATGAGCAGCAGATGAAACCCGAGGGGCTATTTATAGCAGGGTGGCCCTGGGGCCTGGAGCAGGGCCTACGGCCTGGGGAGGCTCAGTGACTCCTCGTCAGGGGCCAGTGGAGTGGAGATAGATGAAGTGTTGGGTTTCTGCGTTCCTCTGGGTGGGTAGTGCTGGAACAGCCTGGTTTGGGGCTTGAAAACCAAACACAACCCTCCTTACCTCACCCCCCACCCCCCCAACGCCTGACTCATGCAAGCCCGAGTCCTCAGGGCCAGGAGAGCTGTGGAGACAGAAACTTTCTGCCCCGACAGCCCCACTTGGCTGTTTCCTTCTGCCGCCGTCTGCCGAGGCTGAGCTGTTCAGAGCTGGGTGGGAGCCCAAGCAGAGGGCCTCTGGGTGCCGCCTGCTCAGGCCTGAGGATGGAGAGCCCTCCTCTTAGCCGGGCTGCCCCGACTGTGGGCTCGGCTGGGAGCTGGGCCTCAAGCCCACCCACTCCCCCCTCGGAGGCTCTGCGGGGCCAGGAAAGGGCTGAAGGGGGTTCTCTTTTCCGAGGCCAAGCCTGAAGACTGAGGGTGAATTCTGCCAGTCGTCAGGACTGGGGGTGAGTCCCTGTGGCCTCAGTTTCTCCTCTCATGGGCATTGTGCTCCTGTTTCCTCCAAGAGGTGGTTGCAACTTGGCGATTGGGAAAGGCTGGTTTCTGGGAGGCCCAGGGGTGATTGGAAAGTGCCAACGGGCGCAGAGGGCTCCGGCGGGGCCTGGGATTCCAGATGCTGGGCGTCCGATTCACATTGCGTGAGGTGGCCGAAGGGATGGGCGGCGGCCGGTGGTGGAGGTGCTGCAGGGTTTTGATTTTCTGTAGAGGCGAAGGTTCGATTGTATCTCTAACTGCCCTTTAGTTGTTCTTGATGTAACAACAGTAACGACATATATGTGCCTTGGATGCATAATTCCTTTTAATTTTCAGACAGCCCCTGTGGACTGGTCCACGTGACCCATGACCTTACAGAGGCTCAGGGTGTTCAGCAGTGCCAGGCTGCCCAGTGGGGTGCTGCGGGACACCCCACCCAGCTTTCACTGCTGCACTGTTGGGGCTCTGGCACGTTTTGGAAACCAATCTGGGTCCATGGGCCTAGTTTTGTGCCCGTCAACACCCCTGGAATGGGAGTGGGTGAGGGGGTAACATGCAGTGGGCGGTGGGTCCTCAGAGGCACGTTGCTGCCCGAGATGCCCTCAGTTGGTACATGTCATGCCTGGCTGCTCTTGTCTCTAAACTTTTGATTGAATGACTCAGTGTCGCTGTTTTAAAGAAAGGGAGTGTGGCCCGGCTGGTGTGGCTCAGTGGTAGAGCATCGACCCATGCACTAAGAGGTCGCCGGTTTGATTCCCGGTCAGGACACATGCCCAGGTTGTGGGCCAAATGCCCAAAGTGGGGGCATGCAGAAGGTGGCTACGATGTTCTCTCTCATCGATGTTTCTTTCTATCTCTCCCTTTCCCTTCCTCTCTCTCTAAAATCAATAAAGGAAAAATATTAAAAAAATAAAAAATGATAAAGAAGGGGTGTGTGGACTGATGATGGTTGGAGGAGAGAGGTTAGTGCTGGAGAGAGGAGGCCTTCTTCACCTCTTTCTTTTTTTTTTTTTTTATCCTCACCCGAGGATATTTTTCCATTTTTTTGTACAGATAGAGTGGGAGGGAGAGAGAGAAAGGGAGAGAGAGAGAGAAACATCGACGTGAAGGGACACATCGAGTGGCTGCCACCCACACGACCAACCAGGGCCGGGGACAAACTGCAACTGAAGTACGTGCCCTTAGTGGGAACCGAACCCGGGTCTCTCCGGACCGCAGGCCGACGCTCTAACCGCTGAGCCAAACTGGCCAGGGCTCACCTCTTTCTTTCATGCTTGTAGTCCATACCCTCCTTGGGGTCACTATGACAATGGCCAGTGAATCAAGAGGAAATGAGTTTCCATAAAATCAATAACTGCTTTATTGAGTGTGTACTCAGTAGAGATGGCACTGGCCCAGGCACGGTGTGTTTCTCGGTGTTTGTGGGGGGAAGGAAAGCCTGTCTCCTTGGGGGCTCACACGTATGCAGGCACACATGGAATTGGCATCCATTGCTTTGGGCTTCGGGTTGCTGTGGTGCCGGGGTTTTAGGTGCCGGGGCTGGAACGTTGGCAGAGGAAGGAGAAGAGGGTCTGTGTTTGCCCCGACCCTGACTGTGCCCGTGGGTAGCTCTCAGCCTACCTCCTCCATAAAGTTGCTTCTCTTTTCTCTTTTCCAGGGCTCCACCAGAGTCAGCCCGAGTGTCCAGCCCCATCCGCAGCCTGTCAGGTATGCCTGGCCTGTGGGGGGCACAGGATGGGGTGCTGGCAGTGAGGTCACTGGGGGTCTCTCTTGCAAGTCATGCCTTTGGGTCTCAGACTGAAGTCATAAAGCCGGTGGTAGGGGCATGGGCAGACATGACTGCCTCAGCCAGGTGGTGCAGGTAGATGCACTTGGAAAGGGTCGTGGTCTCGGTTCTAGCTGGAAGCCGGCCTTGAGCTGAACTCCATCTACGTGCATGAGCTCATTAGTCCTTGTCACAACCCTGCAAGGTAAGTGTTTTATTCCCATCTGGCCGTTGAAGAAACTGAGTTTCAGAGAGATGAGGTGGCCTGGTAAAGATCACCCACAGGGGACTTGGTGGCTTGCTGACACAGTCTCTTCCTGTGTCCAGGTTCTTTGGTTCTCTGGCTTGGGCCTTCCCATCTCTGCCTCACCTTCACCCCTGAGGCTCCAGGGATGAGTGAGAGTCTGGCCCCAAGAAAACGGGGTCCCAGTGAGAGAGGGCCTCAGTGTGGCTGAAGCCCCCAACAGGTTGTGGTCCAGCTGCCCGCTGCCCCCAGACCTGATTTGCTCTTTATTTATTTATTTTATTATTATTATTATTATTATTTAAAATCTTCACTCGAGGATCCTTATCCATTGATTTTTAGAGAGAGTGGAGGGGGGGGAGAGAGAGAGAGAGAGAGAGAGAAACATTGATGTGAGAGAGACACATCGACTGGTTGCCTCCTGCATGACCTGGACCCGGGCTGGAGATCGAACTTGCTACCCAGGTACATGCTCTTGAACAGAATCAAAATCAAACCCTCGACTCTCTGGTCTGTGGGCTGATGCTCTAACTGCTGAGCCAAACCAGCCAGGGTTGATCTGCTCTTAGAGGATCCCTGCTCCCCCAAGAGCTGAGAGCTCCCTCGGGCCGGGTGGGTGCAGAGCGCGGTACTGAGGGTGTCAGGCACTGTTTTGCCCGGGTAGGGGTGACCGGAACCTGAGGCGGGAGCCCCGCCCCCAAAGGCTGCAGTGAGAAGTTTGGGAGGAGGAATGGCCGGGGTTCAGAGCTCAAACTCACACCGTGCTCCTTACTGCAGGCCACCGGCCCTTCTACCACCTGGTCCCTGCCTTTGCCCTCATGGAGAAGCTTCCCATCAGCCCCTGGCTCCCCCATCTCTCCAAACCCCCTCTACAGAGTTGGCTCAGAGTTAACCCTAGTGGAGACCTGGAGTCTGCCCTGCTTCTTGGCCTCCGGGGCCGTCCTCCCCAGGGCCTCTCTGTCACTTGGAAATACCCCAGAGGTATTCCTCCTGCTGCCCTGTCAGCCTCAACCTGACCCCACTGACGCGAAAGGTCACCACAATGAGGTGTGAGTGTTGTCCACCTCCAACAGAGAGGGGAAGCCAGACGCTAGGCCGCTGGTGATAGGGCAAGAAGGTGTGGGGGTGGGGAGCGTGTGAGGTGCCCCCAGAAGTTACAGGTGGGCTTCAGAATGGAATTCCAGTGTCTCAAGATCCATTTCCCCTTCCCAGCAGCTCCCCAGTGGGCCCGTGGACTCCCCCTGGAACAGAAGCTGGGTGCGGTGTCAAGATGTGAGCCCCTCCTTCCCTCATCCAGTGCCCAGCTCAGGGGCTTCTCCACCTCCCCAAGGAGCTCAGGTGGTGCTGGGCTATCTGGGGGCCACCTGCCACCGCAGCAGCAGCACCAGCTCTGTGTCCCCCGCTCCCCGGGCCCTTAGAAGTCAAGGAGGCTCCAGCCACAAAGCAGCGCTGGCAGCGGTGGGAGCCTGAGGGGGGGAGAGCCAGGAACAGAGGCAGCAGTTGGCCTGCCCCTGGGGAGGGCTGGAATGTGTCCTGTGGTCTGGCTTACCTGGAGCCCAGGTGAGCGTGTCACCTGAGCTGCCCCTTGCCCTGCAAGGCCTCCCTGCCCACTCCACAGCCCTGGAGCCAGGGGAGGGTGTAGAAGTCTCAGCCCAGGGATGCTGGAGAGCACCCAGCTCAGCCTCTTTCCTCTTCCAGAACTGTCCCAGGGTCCTGCAAGGCAGTTCTGCCGGACCAGGTGGCCGCAGTGTCAGGGGCAGGGCTGGACTCCCGGGTTCCTGGCCAGTGCTGGTGCTGGCTCTGACTTCTGGGATCAAGGGTGAAGGCAGTGCTGACGGCATTGATGGGAATCTAGGATTGGTGTCATCGCTGTTTGGTTCTGACATGGCCCGAGATCCTCGCCGGCCCCTGCCCAGATCTGTTCTCTTGGCGCCCCAGCTGGTCTTGCTGGCTGCACTGGCCTTGCCGGGGGAAGCCTCTGACCCTGGATCTGGGTCAGGGAGCAGCCAAGCCCCCTGGGTTGGATGGGGGGCCATGCACAATGTGTAGGGGGTACAGATATCTGTTCCTTGTCCTGGTCTGAGTGAGAGTGTGACCTAGAACCACCTCTCTGCTAGTCTTCCCAGAAACATGAGTGTGAGCCGGACCATGGAGGACAGTTGTGAGCTGGACCTGGTATATGTCACAGAGAGGATCATCGCCGTCTCCTTCCCCAGCACAGCCAATGAGGAGAACTTCCGGAGCAACCTCCGGGAGGTGGCCCAAATGCTCAAGTCCAAACATGGAGGCAACTACCTGGTGAGGACGGGCTTCTCTCCCACCTTCCCCGCGTCCCTCTGTCCTTTTTGCTTGCCACCTTACTGCTGGCGTCCCGGCCCACCCGCCCTGGGCCAGCTCTTCCTCCTCTCTTCATCCACCTGCCCTGGGCCCTGAGCAGCTCTTGTGGCTGGAATCTTCACTCCCTCTCCAGCCCGACTCTGCTATAAGGAGTGTCTGCAGCTGAAATGTAGCATCTGGAACCAAGTTGTGTGTGTGCACGTACATGTGTTGTGTGCAAGTGTGTGTTTGTGCCCAAATGTGTGTGTGTGCATGTCCACATGTGTATGTGCCCCCACATGTGTGTGCACGTGTATGCATGTGCCCACACATGTATGTATGCATGCATGTACGTGCATGTGGGTGTGTGCATGCATGTGTATGTGCATGCCTGCCTGTGTATGTGTGCTCACATGTGCATGCGTGCATATGCGTGCATGTGTATGTGTATGCCCCATGTGTATGTGTGTATGCTTGTGTGTGCATGTGTGGACGTGCATGTGCGTGTGTTGACCAGGAGAAGAGAATAACAGTAAGAGCTCATGAGCCCTTACTACAAGCCAGGCCCTGTTCTTAACTTCAGGACAGCCCTAGAGAGCAGGTTTTGTTAGAGCTCAGAGAGGTGGGGTGTCTGCCTGAGTTCACAGTACCAGGAAGTGCAGAGCTGGCACACTGTTGGCACTTCCGAGAAGTCTGAGGGCAGAGTTGTGGCAGAGTGCGTCTTAAAGGGCCTTGTGTTGCTGGCGCTGGGGTTGTGCCTGGCCCAGGGGAATCACCTACCAAATGTGGGTGCAGTGGCTGCCAGTGGTCTGCTCTGTTGTCGGAAAGGCCAGCCTGGGGGTCGGGCCAGTCCTGGCTCCGGAGGAGGGCTCAGGTCCACTTTGCAGGGAGGGGCATGCGACTGGGCCCCCAGACCAGACTGTGTGCCTGCCGGGGCCGCTCTGGGATGCTTGAGCAGAGGCGGCTGTAGGAGGCTGTATTAGGTCCCGGGGCTGCTGTGACAAATGACCACAAACAAGGTGGCCGAAAACAATGGAATTCAATTCCTCATGGTTCTGGAGGCTAGAAGTCCAAATCAAGGTGTCGGCAGGACCGTGTTCCCTCTGAATCCTGCAGGGGAGCAGCCTGCCTTGCCCCTTCCTGGCTGCTGGTTGCTCCGGCATCCTTGGTGACCCTTGGCCTGTAGCTTCATCGCTCCGATCCTTGTCATCTTCTGTCATCACATGGCCTGCCTTCTTTCCTGTGACTCTGTGTGTCCTTTCCTCTTCTTATAAGGACACCAGCCATTGGATTTAGGGTCCACCCTAAATCCAGGATGATCTCATCCCCAGATCCTTGACTGCTTACATCAGCAAAGGCCCAATTTCCAAATAAGGCCACATTCAGAAGTTCCGGATGGATGTGAGTTTTTGTGGGACACTATTCATCCCACTACAGACACCCATCCATCCGCCGTGTCGGCATTGTTAAGAGCCTGGCCTTAAACATCGGAAAGTCTTGGGTTTGAATGTAGGCTCTGCTCTTACTAAGTAGCTGATCTCGGCCACTTAGCCTCACCTAACCTTAAGTTCCCCATCTGTAAAATGGGTCTAACAATACTGACATTGTTGTTGAGAGAATGAAGCCAGCTGGCAGGTGTAATGGTCTTAGCATGGGATGATAGGCTGTGGATACTCGAGTGGCAGCTGTTGTTAACATAATAAAGTGTGTTCCATCGTGGGTTTCCAGTGGACTGCAGCCATCTAAGTCCTTCCTGCCTTCGGAGTCCAGGAGGTCATGGGTCTCTGTGCTCTGCCCCCTCCCTCCCTCCCTGTCTTCCAGACCGTGGGGTCCTCATTTTCTTGGGGTGAGGTTCTAAAGCCCACCTGTGGAATGGAAACCACAGAAGGCCAAATACTTAACAGCACTACCAGCTTCCATTCAGTCTGGGGAGGTGCCCCTGTGGGTGGGACACGGGGCCCGAGACCGGCTCTGATCCCCCTCACCCGTAGCTCTGGACGTCGGCTCACTGAGGGGAACGGCTGAGTGTCTGTGCCTCTCTCTGTCCCCCCTCATCCTGAGCACCTGTAGCCGAGTTCCTGATGGTCAGTGGGTGTCCGATGGGACCCGTGTTTGGCAGGTGTGGGCAGAATCCCCAGCAGGGCCGAGAGCAGCGCGTGCGCCTTTCACAGTCTCTTCCTTTTCTTCCTTCCAGCTTTTCAACCTCTCTGAGCGGAGACCGGACATCACGAAGCTCCACGCCAAGGTGAGTCCATGTCGAGTGGGCGGCTTCTACCCTCCGGGGCGAGGCAGCCACAGGCAGCCTCCCTCTCCCCACGCCCCACCTTGGAGTCTTGGGGAAGGTGCTGGGACAGTTTGCAAAGCCTGTTGCAGGGCCGCCTTCTTCTGGAAAACGGGCAGGAATCTATTCATGGTTTCCATAGTATAAACCACAGAACGCGAAGCTCGATACAGTGGTTTCCATCCAAGTCTGCCTCCCTGGGGAGCCCGTGGGCTCTCGGGGTGGGGCTGGGCCGAGATTCTCAGTTTCATGGAGAGGTATTTGGAATGGGAACTGCTGGGAATGGCCGGCGTGGATCTTCCCGCCAGCAGCTTTCACTTGCTTACCTGGCGGGCCGTGTGCCGGGTTCTGGTGCCTGGCACTGTGTGACCCCGGGGTGGCGACACACTTCCCTGGGCCTCAGTGTGCACCTCTGAACGTAGGTGGAATGGATTAGGTGTCCTCTCCGGACCCCTCCAAGCAGAAGTTCTCGTCTGTTGTGAAGTTCTTTGAGTTTGGAGAAGTTTGGAGGAGCCTGGACACCGCTGTTTAGATCTGCCCTCTGTCCCCTTCAGCTTTCTGGGCTGGCCTGGAAATCAGTGGTGTGTGGCCAGGGCCTAGAAGACAGTCACAAACAGTCGGAGCCCCTTGCTCTGCCCTCTTTTGTCCTGAGCCGGGCCTCGGCTTATCTGTGGGAGTAGAGCGTGGGGGCCGTGCTGGAGGCCCCATTGTATTCTGAGGTCAGAGTCACGTGGAAGGGACCTTGGGGTCATCGTCTCCAAGCCTTTGTTTTACACACACGGGAGAAACTGAGGCTAGGAGAAGGGCCATGACTGGCCAGAGCCCCCCAGTGAGCCAGCGTCAGAGCTGAGACTCAGGCACAGGGTCCCTGGTCCGGGCCACTGTCCTTTGCCTCCACACCCCCCATCTCCCAGCTGGGCTGATGAGCAGGACGGGAACCAAGGCCCAGCTGCTGGTGGCCTCCCTGGTACTAGCTTGTGAGGTGCTGCTGCCCCCACTGCCCTGGTTGACCCTCCGGGCTTCTGCCACTCACTCCTGGCCTGGGCCGCAGGTACTGGAATTTGGCTGGCCTGACCTCCACACCCCAGCCCTGGAGAAGATCTGCAGCGTCTGCAAGGCTATGGACACTTGGCTCAACGCAGACCCTCACAATGTCGTCGTTCTGCACAACAAGGTCAGCGTGGGCTGCAGGGTGTGTGCGTGTGAGTGTGTGTGTGTCTGCGTGTGCGCATGCCCATGCATGAATATATCCTTGGATGAGGGTATATGCTTGCCTGTATCATTGTATTGTGTGAGTGTGTAAGTCTGTGTGTATTCTCCTTTCTAGGGTGATGGACCCTGTTCTGGGGGCACCCAAAGAAGGGTGGAGTACCAGCTTGTGGGGCCCTCCAGTGCAGTGGGCCATCAGCTGTTTCTTCTCTTTGAGGCCCAGCCCCGCCCCCTCCCTCTCCTACGCCCCCTCCCTCCGGCTGTTTTCCAAAGCCACGCCCTCCTCTCCAGCCCCTGCACCTTTCCTCAGGGCTTCGGAGGAGCCCTGGAACAGTAGGCCGGCTTGAGCAGTGAAGGCTTTTGTGTTTGGGGCTCTTTCAGGGAAACCGAGGCAGGATAGGAGTTGTCATCGCCGCTTACATGCACTACAGCAACATTTCGGCCAGGTAAGAGGGTCCCAGAGCCTCCCATTCTCTGAATATTGACAGCGGAAAACCCCCCCAACCCACCCATAACCTCTCCGTTCTTTGGGGCAGGAGGATAAAGGCGGAGGGGGTGAGAGGTGCTTAGCCTGAGGAAGGAAGGTGCCTGTGCACATCTCAGGGGCTGAGCCTGTGAACAGAGGGCAGGAGAGAGGAGAGTCCATCCCTCCGTCTCAGGCCCGCCGGAGCCAGCCTTGCGAGGCAGGCCCATCCGTGGATACCCACCTAGCCAGATTCTTGGGGCCACTTTTTCTTGCCGAACTGCCTTCTGTTTCCCTGGTGAGCAGGGAGGGTGTCAGAAAAAAAAAAAAAGCTGGATCAGATCTGGTCCAGCAGAACCATCTCGACGTTATCTCATCCACCCCTGTCCCTGGCCAGCAGGGCCCTTTCCCACTTAGGTGTTTTAAAGCAAGACCAGTAAACAAGCAGTGTTCGGCTTTGACTTCGTTTTGCAGAGAGGCAGAGGAGTCCATCCATCCATCTGCTAATTCACGGGACTGGCCGTGCACAGCCGTGGCCTGTTGTGGGTGCTGGGGTACAGGGGATATAGCCGTGGGCAAAGCCAGGGCACTGTCCTCAGGGACGTTCAATAGCAAGTATGTCAGGAACAGCAGGTGATGCTGCTCGGTGGAAGGGTGGAGACCAGAGCATGGCCGCGGCAGAAGAGGCCTCTGGAGGAGGTGATATTTGAGCAGAGACCTGAATTAGGGGAGGAGGGCGGGATGGGCTGAGGCACAGAAAGTCTGAGAGGGAACTTTGTGGGCAGAGAGAAGAGGAAGGACCAAGGCCTGCGGTGGGAATGCAGTCCGAGGCGCGTTCTGAGCTGAGTGAATGAGGGGATGAGGAGCAGGAAGTGAAGCTGGAAGGGGCAGAGCCTGGGAGCCTTGATAAGGACTTTGGGTTTTATTCTAAGAGTGATGGGAAGTTGTTGGGAGGGTCAAGAAGGGGTGAGCTACGTGATCTGTCTCTACATTTTAAAGTGATTGCTCTGAACACTCTGAGGACGGTGGCATGTGCGGCGGAGGGCTTGCCAGTAGGATGGCAATTTTACAACTTTAAGAAATCCACCTGAGCCTACTCTCCTCAGTGGTGAGCACTTGCTGTGCACCTACTGTGTGCCTGCACGTGCCAAGCTCTGCAGAGATGCTAGCCGGCTTGATCGCCATAACAGACTCTGAGGAAGGCACCTATCACTCTCATTGGACATGAAATAAAGTCAGGTTCAGAAAGATGGAATAACCTGCCCCCAGGTGCAGGGGTAGTAATTGCTGGTGGACTAGAGATGGGCTCCCGGGCTGCCTGGCTCCAGAGCCCCGGTACAGCGCACAGGATGGAGAGGTTCTGGGTGCTCTTTTCCTGGAGGCATCTCAGCACAGGGGGGCTGGAGGACTCTGCAGGTCTGGGGAGGGGTGAGGAGCCTGAAGGGGCTCTTGGATTTGGATGTTGGCTCCACTGACCACCCGTCTTTCCCCCAGCGCTGATCAGGCACTGGACCGGTTTGCAATGAAGCGGTTCTATGAGGATAAGATTGTACCCATTGGCCAGCCATCCCAGAGAAGGTGGGTCTCACAGCCCAGAACGTGTGTGTGCGCACGCGCATGTTGTACATGGGGACTCACCTCACGTACCCACGGGGCATGGAACTGTGTGCCTACTGAACATGCATGCTCAGGGCCAGCCTGGAGGGGTCTGAGCTCAGGGACGCGGGTGAGCCTATGAGCAGCTGTTTCTGCACACGGATGGGCAGGGCAGTGGGCTCCTGAGGCTGGCGCTGGAGAGCATCCGGCGCATCAGTGGGGCACACATTGGTCGGGTAGAAGAAGGCAGACTGTATGAGAAAGCAGTGCCATTATTGGCCCTGGAAGCGGGATTGTTTCAGGGTTTGGATGAGTCTACAGGAGGCCGAGGTCCCTGCTGCCTGCTCTGGGAGGTCGCACGTGCTCTCAGTAAGTCTCCGTTTACTGGGAGGGCTTGAAGAACTTTATCGAGGGCACTCAACCACGTGGTCTCACTGGAGTCCACAGCAGCCCAGGCAGGAAGCAGGGCAGGGACTGACTCAATCATTTATTTGGCAAGTTATAGGCAGTCTGCTACGTTCCCAGCGCTAGAGATAGCGAGTCGAATAGGACAGAGTCCTTTGCTCCTAGTGAGCTGATATTCTGTTGAGAAGGGTGGACGTGACACAAATAAATACACAAACGGGACAATTTCAGAGAGAGGAAAGAAAGGGGACAGCGATCTGCAGAGACGAGAGCTGACAGGAGGGGGATGGGGCTATTTGAATGACCATGGTCAGGGAGTACCTGTCAGAGGAAGTGGGCTCGAGTCCAAAGCTGGATAATGGTGAGCTACCACTTGGTGACCCAGGGCATCCCCGTTTTCCAGGAGAGAAGCCCGAGCCCAGAGAGAAGGGCATGGCATGGCCAGGGTCCACAGGGAGCAGTGGCAGAGCCAGGGTGTACTCAGGGGCCTGCCCCTGGCTGTGCCATCCACCCTCCTGAGGGCGACCCCTGGATTCAGCTCTGGATAACATCTGTTCAGTGATGTCTGACCCATGGGGAGGCACAGGTGGTGTCAGGACCAGGTGGGCCTTGGGAGGCTGCGGGTGAATGGGAGCCAGGTAGGTGGACACCCAGACCCAGAGTGGAGAACTGGAGAGTTGGACTTGGGCCCAGGTCCCTGTGGGCTTATCACACCTGTCTGATGTGCCACCTTGGGCTGCCCACTGCGGCTGCGGTGCTGAATCTCTTCCGGCGAGGTCTCTTGGGGCCTACCTTCTGGTGGATGGCACCACGGGAATTAGCCAGCATGGTCATTTCAGATAGTGAGAAGTTCTTCGAAGGGGTAAACCGAAACAGAGCACGATGGGCGGCAGAGTAATGGGAGTGGGCATGAGGGCTGTTCCAAAGGGACCGACCTTTCTGAGAAGGTGACGTGTGAGGTGAAGTCTGAGGAGGGAGAAGGACTCATCGGAGTGCAGGTCTGGGCTAGAGGGTCTAGGCAGAGGGGCAGCAGGTGCACAGGCCGGGAGATCACAGTGTCCCATGGTTTTTCTGGCCCTTCAGAACACTTGGCAAGCAGGACCCGTCTCTGCACGTCCTGGGGCTCCCCAGGCTCTCCATGCTGGGGTGTCCCCAACTCACATCACTTTTACCTTGCTCGCCTTTCTAGAAGTGTGCTGACACCCCTGGGGCCTGTGTCCGCCCTTGTAGCAGGAAGCCCTAGCAGAAATGAGTGAGTCCTCAGGCACCGCAGTGTTTTGCAATTGGCAAAGCCAGCTGGTAGCCAGCCTCAGGTCAGCTGAATCAGAAAATCCTGGCTCGGCTGCCAGGCACAGCAGCTGTGGATCAATGAGTGTTCCCAGGGAGGAAGTCCCAGGGAGGGAAGAACTGTCACTCAAGTACCCACTCCTCAGTCCCTGTCTTGTCACAGATGGCTGGTGGCCTGGGTCATGAGTCTGGCCCTTGCCTCGAAGGCTAAGGGATACAAATAGAGGAGCATGGTGTTGTAGTGGCACAATGTGGCTTGGACAGAGCAGGCAGAGTAGTCACATCTCTGAAGCTGAAAACCTGGAGACTGGGATCCTTGTTACCTCTCAGGAATAGGATAATGCAGGGAATCCACAGTGCTCAGGGCGCGCGTGTGTGTGTGTGTGTGTGTGTGTGTGTGTGTTTAAATTATCTGTGTCTGCCTTGCAGCTCATATCTGCACCCACGTCTGCTTATGGGTGGGTAATTCTGTTTGTGTCTAAATGTGAAAGTGCAACTGTTGGGTTACCATGTGTTCGTTGCCACCTTCCCGCCTTCTTGTCAGTGTCACTGGTGAAGAATGAGGCCGTTGGAGGAGAAGAGGGCAGGGGGAAAGGGAGGGAGGTGCTTGGCCTGCAGCTCCCCCATTCATTGTCACCCCACCCCCGGACTCATTGTCCCCAGCACACAGACACATCCTGTTGGCACGATCAGAAGTTCTGATAGGAATCCGCCATTCCAGGTTTCCGGTTTGAGTAATGGGGCTGGGGGCTGGGCAGGGGCCTGAATAGGAGTTGGCGCTGCCCATCAGATTATCTTGCTTGGGTTGTCCAAGGTGGCCACACCCCGGCCCAGGGACAGAGGCCCACAGCCCTGGAGGTGGGCCAAGGAGTCAAGATAAAGGAGGGGACTATTATCATGGTCATGTGGGTTCTGGTCTCACCCACCTCAAAAGCTCATGTTGGCTCCCTTGGAGTCTCAGATGCATTCTGATTGGTTCAGCAGACCCAGCGTGGTATCCTCTGGCCAGTCAGAAAAGGAGGAAGTGCCAGTCAGTGGTAGAAGGATTGGCCTCTGTTCTGGCAGATGAATTGGAGTCAGACTTCCCTTCCCTCTCCATTCACTCTCAGCTTTGTGTGTTTTTGCTGTGTGTCTTTGGGAGGTTAATAACCCTTTCTGAACCTGTTTTTTTTCTTTCTGTTTAGAAGTGGGAATAGGTTAATCCTTTCATTCTTCCAACAAGATCTTTATTTAAAAAATTGGGAGAACCTGGCCGGTGTGGCTCAGTGGTTGAGCATCAACCCATACAATAAGAGGTTGCCAGTTTGATTCCTGATCAGGGCACATGCCCAGGTTGTGGGCCAAATCCCCTTTGGGGTGCATGCAGGAGGCAGCCAGTCAGTGGTCTCTCTCATTGATGTTTCTATCTCTCCCTCCCTCTCCCTTCCTCTCTCTCTAAAATCAATAAAGAAAAAAAAAAATTGGGAGATGTTGATCCTAGAGATAGAGGTACTTAGTAGAAGTTAGATATCTTATAACATCAAATGAAATGCTCTGGAGGGTCTTTCATACACTGTAGCATGATATAAAAAGTGAAAGACTAGAATTATGCTCTTGATATTTATTGGAGTGACATGTAGCTGGTGGGGCTGTGCAGAGCCGACCCAGGGCCCGTGGGTATAAATATCAGGTTTTGGCTAGGTATAAGGGTGTGAGAGCTATTTGATAGTGGGTCAGCCTGCCTTGTGTAGTAGTGAGCAGTTGGAAGGTACCTGTCAGGGATTTGTGGGAGGAATTTTGGTTCAGGAGTGGATTTGTGGGATGGGAGTGAAGTAGGAAAAAGATGCTTGTGTTGACCACCAGGGGGCGCTGGAGAACCCCAAGTGAGGGATTTGGCTTGACCTGGCTCCAGGTCTAGAAGTACCTGCCTGCTCTCCCTTCCTGGGGATCCAGGCAGCAAGGGAGGACTGTGCTGGGCAGAGACTCCAGCCACCTGGAGGCCTGGAGGCGGTGGCAGAGGGCTAGGTAGGGCAACTTAGGGCAGTGTCATGGTGGAAAAGAGAACATGGGATGGCTCTGCTCCAGTTCAGGCCTCCTTGGCTGAAGCGGCCCTGTCCCTGCTCTAGGTACGTGCATTACTTCAGCGGCCTGCTCTCTGGCACCATCAAAATGAACAACAAGCCCTTGTTTCTGCACCACGTGATCATGCATGGCATCCCCAACTTCGAGTCTAAAGGAGGTACTGGCCCCGGCCCTCTGGCTTCCAACCCCCTCCTGTCTTCTCTCTCCTTCTCTGAAGAGGCACCCATGGGTGGTAAAAATATAGGCTTGGATTGGAGTCTCAACTGCACCTCTTCCTGAGCTTTCTTTAACCCCAGTCTACTCATTTGCAAAATGGGTTTGATACTTGCAGTGCCTGCTGGCAGATGTTGGATGTGACAATGTTTTTGTAAACTTAAAATGTCTCTCCAGCCCGGCTGGTGTGGCTCAGTGGATTGACTGTCACCCTAGGTCCCCGTCCGATTTCCGGTCAGGGCATGTGCCCGGGTTGCAGGCTCGATCCCCAGTAGGGCGTGTGCAGGAGGCAGCTGATCAATGTTTCTCTCGCATTGATGTTTCCATCTTTCTCTCCCTTAAAAATAAATCAGTAAAAACATATAAAAAGTTTCCTTCAAATGAAAAGCTAGCATTTCTTCCCCTTTCTCTTTTCATTTCTCCTCCTCTTTTCCTCCTTCCCTTTCCTTTCCCCTTCTTTCCGTTCTCCCCCGTTTCTTTCACTCTTCCCTCTCCCTCCTCCCACTGTTCCTGTTTTTGTAGCTAACACCACCCTCCCCTTACAGGGTGTCGGCCATTTCTCCGGATCTACCAAGCCATGCAACCTGTTTACACATCGGGCATCTAGTAAGTATTCCATGGGAATGAGAGTCCCGGATGCTAGAACTCAGGCTGAGGACCAGGAGCAGTGGTGTGTGTGTGTGTGTGTGTGTAGCGGGGGGTGGGGGTGGCGGGGGCTTCCTTGACTCTCTTCCAGGAGGGGGCCGAGGGGTGAAGTCAGCAAGGTTCCCCAGCAGCCAGGTGGCAGAGGAGGGGCAGGGAGGAAATGCTCTGCCTGCCCCCAGCGGTCCCTCTCTCCCTCTGCCCGCTTCTCCCCCACAGCAATGTCCAAGGAGACAGCCAGACCAGCATCTGCATCACCATCGAGCCTGGGCTGCTCTTGAAGGGAGACATCTTGGTGAGCGCTGCCCTTCTGTCTCTAGCCCCTGTCCCTCATTTCTTTTTCTCTCTTCTTCTCCCTTCCGGCTCTCCTCCAGCCTCCCAGACAAGACCTCCCTCCTGGTGGGCCACCCGCCTTGGGCTCGCAGGCTCTCAGGGCTTTTGCAAGGCCTCTGACAGTCCTTGCTCATTCTTCAGCCTCGGAGTTGGACATCCTTTCCGCTGGGCTTACCTCTTGTTCTGTAACAGCTCCAGAAATATCTCCCCTAGGAGCTGTTACCTCCTGGCTTCTTGTTGGTGACAAGGACCCCCCGAATGCTAGTTTCAGCTGTTCCTTCATCAGTTTAAATCCACTCCTACTTTTTCCATTCCAATCTGTATGCAGGAAATTTTTTGAGAGTCAGTTTTATCCTCATGGGGTAAGACTCTCTGCTCTTCTAGAATTTTCCCCAGAGAGCTTTGCGATCCTGTTTGGTGTTGGTGGACTCTCCCTCACCAGTGCGGGGTGAGCACGGGGGCCCAGTCTTGGAGCTGATACGGCAGCTCCCTGGGACCTGATGTCCCACCCCCCAGCCCCTGAGGGTTCCGCGCTCTTTCTCGCCCAGCTGAAGTGCTATCACAAGAAGTTCCGGAGCCCAGCCCGAGACGTCATCTTCCGTGTGCAGTTCCACACCTGCGCCATCCACGATCTGGGGGTTGTCTTTGGGAAGGAGGACCTAGATGATGCCTTCAAAGGTGGGCACATTGAGTGGAGAGGTAGACCCAGCAAGGGATAATTCTATCCAGAGTAGAAGAGCCATTATTGGGGGGTGGGGGGGTGGAGGGCAGTAGTGAAAGGGCAACCATTTTCTGAGGGAAGAAGAGGTGGTCAGGGAGGTGTCTCCCTTTGTTTTTTTCTCTCTATCCTTTTGAGGTCTTATCTACATCACATTCAGGACTGGGACATATCCACACCATCTATCCATTCATCCACCCATCATCCATTCATGTGTCCTTCCATCTACCCACCTACCTACTCCCCCATCTAAACTTATCCATCTATCCATTCATCCGTCCAAATGCACCCACCCATCTACTTTCCTACCCCACTCATCCATCCATCCATCCATCTATTGATCTATCCATTCACCTACCCATACACTCACCCATTCATCCATCTACCCACCCATCCAAATCCATCCATCCATTCACCTGTCCATCCATCCATCCATCCATCCACCCACCCACCCACCCACCCACCAAGCATCACTTGTGTGTCTGTATGTGCCAGGCATGTGCTAGACTTTGGGGATACAGAGAGAAAGAGGTGAGTCCGTACCTCAGGGAGCTCAGGCGTCGGGGAGAGCGAGGCACACAAACACGACCCTGTGAAGTGATGCCCGCGGGGACGGAGACACGCACAGGCGGGATGGGTGCCCCCGGGAGCAGACACCATCCCTGATGTCACTTCATTGCTGTTTCCAGGTTGGGCTCAGGCAGAGAGCAGAGAGTGGGGCTGGGACTCGGGGGAGGAGGGCATGATCCCCAGTGTAGTCTGGCTCGTGCAGGAGGAGGATGTGTCCTCTGATGTGCTTCCCTGCGCTGGAGCCAGGAGAGCCAAAGCAGGAGGCACCGTTATAATTACAGAGCAGAATACATTGTATCAACATTAACAAGGAAAAATAAAGGAATAGTTGACGCAATAAAGGTTGAGTTGATGAGAGCTGGGAGAAAGGGAGGGGCACAGATTCTTCCTCTTACCTAGAGGGGGTCAGGACACCATAAAAAATGAACAGATTAAGAAATAGAGCCTTAGCTATAGTATTTAAAGTTTCAAAGGTAATTAGAATAAGTGATGATGATTATGATGATGATACCAGATTTTAGGAAAAGAGAGGTAGGAGTAGTATATGTGAGCCAAATTATTCATCTTCATAGTGGTGAATCAATGGGGATGATTTAAAACTGATGTATCTAGAAACAGTGGCGTAAAAATGGGCTATTATTTAAAGCCTTGGAGGTAACTGCTAGTAGAACAAGAAATACAAATGATTAGAAATGGTTTCCTTGGGTGAGTAGGACTGGGACTAGGGAGGGCAAGAAACTTAATTCCATATCTATTTCATACATGTATATTTCATATGCATATAAAAACAATATGTTATTGACATGTGTGTATTTTCTAGAAGAAAATCTTTTCTGGAGTCCTTTTTAGAAACTGAGTGCCCATTTTGTGTTTCCTTCTCCTTTTTCAGATGATCGATTTCCAGAATATGGCAAAGTGGAGTTTGTATTTTCTTATGGACCAGAGAAAATTCAAGGTATAAGTCAAGTCAGAATCCATTCATCATTCATTCCCTTCCCTCTATCCTGGCCATTTCCCACCCCTCCTTCGCCATTCTCTCTCACTGGTCTTCGCTCTAATTGTCAAGTTACCTGTGATGGAAAGGCAGGCCAACAGTAAAAGATCTGGGTATCATAGTGGACCCCCAGCTAAACGTGAACCAGTGATTTAATCTCTGGGTAATAAAAATAAAAAAGCAGACAGAGAGGCGCTGGGTTGGATAAACTGTTCTAGTCCCATTAGGTCATCATGCTATTATATTTAGAAGCCGAGAGCCATGGAGGATGAGGGAGTGGCTGAGGGGACACTCAGAGGTGCTGGATGAATGATAAGTATTTCTGAGAACCGAGGTGATTCAACCTGAAGATGAGAAGACCAATTTAATAATAGCTGTTAAGCCTTCAGACTGGTTATATGTGGAGCCCAGTTGTTCTCCATCTTATTTGAGGCCGGAATGGGAGAACGCGAAGTTAGGCTGCAGACGGGAGGACTGGACAGATGAAAGAGCGAACTGCCGGGTCAGGGAGGCTGCTCACCCAAAGTGTCCGACTTGCAGCTTGTGCTGTTTTCGTGCTGGGCTTTCTCTGGATGCGGAGGAGGGCTTCTGCCTCTCCCCTGATTTCTGCCCGGAGTGGAGAGCATCTCGAGTGGGGGGAGGGGAATGGCCTGGATGACCTTGTGTCCTCTCAATGACAAGGCTGTGATCCTGCTTTCGCACACTCCCCTGACTTCAGGAGCAGACTCCGGTCTCTCTGCACTGCCCTAGGACTCAGAAAAGAAAGAGGCAGAACTCAGCCAGAGGGTCCCCTAGTTTTCTCTTGGGAGAGGGGGGTCTTCATTCTTTAGTGCCCTGTCCTGATTTACCCCTGTGACCTGGTATGAGCCATTTTAGGAATGCGAGAAACCAGACCCCTGGGTTCTCCGTCCACCTGAAGCCACTGGTCGCGCCCTGCCAGGGTCAAGGAAACGATAAGTCCCTTAGGGAGCATCCTTGGGGGGTCTGGGCGGCCTCCTCGGTTTCCAGCTGCTGACCTCTCCTCCTCACTGTGCTCCGCCCTCCCGTCCTCTCAGGCATGGAGCACCTGGAGAACGGGCCCAGCGTGTCCGTGGACTACAACACCTCCGACCCCCTCATCCGCTGGGACTCCTATGACAATTTCAGCGGGCAGCGCGAAGACGGCATGGAGGGTAGGTGGGACCCGTGGCTTCCTGCCCCTCTCCAAACCGCACAGCCCCTCCCTGCACACAGCACAGGCCTCGGCTTTCTCGTGGGGCGTGACACCTTCCTGGGTTCAAAGGGAGGCAGAGGAGAGGCCATGTCGCCTCTGAGAGGTCACAGTTCAGTGGGAGAAGGTAAGGCGAACATGAATATGTTAGCTGATGAAGGCAGCGCTAAGAGAATGTGGCCAGACAGCCGCCCCGAGGGCACGCCATTGGTGCCCAGTGAGTCCCGCGGATGGCGGGTGCTCTGGGCTTGGCAGGGCTATTCTTGTCAGCTAGACTGGCCCGGGAGGGCTCCTCAGAGGAGGTACCTTGAGTGGACCAGGAGGCACCCCCGTGCATTTGTTGCCTTCTTTTGAAACCTGCGCATTTCCGCAGGCTCACTGCCTGAGTGCCCCTGGTCAGAGGACAGGAACGTAGACGCAGCATCTAGGTCCACGTGCTTTCGTGACAGCTGACGAAAACGTGTGTGAGGTGGAAACAAACAGGCTCCACGATCTGAAAAGAAAGCTACAGAACTGAAATTAATACGTTTACTGAAATTAGGTTTAGCTGCAAAACCTAACATTATGTCAGATGGCCAACTGCAACTCCAGCTCTTGAGAGCTATATGTGGGTTATGTTTATTCATGTAGTTCATTTGAATATGTGATGGTGCAGGGCGGGGCCTCCAAAAGTGAGCCTGCCCGGAGCTCAGGGACTCTTCAGACGCCCTGTCTGGGGTTTGTTCCCAGGACTGCAGAGTGTGGGGTCTGAGAGGACCCTCAGGACCAACTGCCCACCCCTCCATCCGTTTTCAGTTGGGGTAACTGAGACCCCCTTAAAGGAAGTATCTCCTGATTTACCCTCAGGAGCCAGGATGTGTCCTTTCAAGGACACTAGCGCCCAGCCTATGGGCTTCTCCTTCTAGGTGAAGCTGGTTCTATAGTGGGACTGCCCTGGGCCACGCGGCAGAGCTGGTTTGGGGAGGACCAGGCACCTCACCCAGCCTATCTCTCCAAGGTTCTGGGTTTGTGGACTCCACCCTGAAAGTCCTTTAAGCCTTTTTCTTGCATAGAGAGTCTTCCTCTGACCTTGGAGACTCCAGAATGAGGGCTGTGGGAGGAGGGCGGTGGTTGGGCTAGAGTGTAGGGCTTGGTGAGACCATGTTGGTTATTTTCAAAGTTGCAAACTTGAAGGCTTGTCCTCAGACCTACCCTGGTTCCCTGCCCCCCACCCTCCGAGCGCACAGACACTGCACTAGGGCCTTTTCTCCCCGCCGAGGCAGCCCCGCCCCGAGTGCTCCCCGTACCCCGCGCCTCAGCCCATCCACTTGTGCTAAGTGGCTGAGGAGGAGGCAGAGGATGAAATGAATTAGTCCTGAGGTACCAGTGGCTGCCAGCCTAATTGTTCATCTTCTGGGGATGTTTGCATTTTTAACAAGAACACTTGGCAATTTGAAGGAATTTTCAATGTTTCTCCATCTCTCCCTGGTGTGGATTCAATGTGATGATAAATATAAAAACATTTGGTAAATGCTAAAGTGCCAGGCAAATAAAAGGTAAAATAATTAAGGGGGCGAAGGAGCGGAGTGAGAGGTCAGGGCTTGGGGACACGGTTGGTGTGAGGGGAGGAGGGGCAGCTGGAACAGTGAGAGGCAGGGAGGAGGGGGAAGGAGAGGGTGAGGGGAGGCCCCGGGCTCCTCCTCCCACCCCCTGGCCTGCCCTGGTCTCTCCTGCCACGCGCTCCCCCAGGCAGGGGTCGGAAGCAGTGGAACCTTTGGCCAGTTGAATGTCAGCTTGTCCTGTAGGGACAGAGGGGCTCCTGTCTGGAGGCTGAGAAGCTGGCTCTGTGTCCAAAGGGTGGGCAGGGGAGGCAGCTCATGGCCCTGCTGTCCTCCCCCCTGGCCTGGCCTGGGAGGAGAGCTGTGCAGCTGGGGTGGTCGCCAGGGCAGACCCCACCTGTCCCACTGTGTGCTTCCTGCTACTGCTGGGCCGCAGCCCCCGCAGGGACAGGAAAGCAAGCTGTGACCAGCCCTGGGGCGGGAGCAGGAACATTATCCCCATCCTGCCTGGGGTCCTTCTGGAAGGCTCTAGATTCGGGGGCCCAGGGCTAAAAGCATTTTCTTCTGGTCAATTCTCCGGCCAAGAGAGGGAAACAGGAGGCCTTTGTCTGTCTCTCTAGCTGTGGACAAATCCTCGTGCCTCAGTTTCTCCATGTGCCAGCTGGGGTAGGGGCACTTAACCCCTGTGATTCTGGGTTGTTCAGGAGATGGCTTAAGCTGGAGCCTGGGAGGGGGCTTGGCTGTTCCCTAGAGTGGTCCCAGGGCTGGGGGTGAGGTGTTACCCAAGGTGGCTCTGCCTGTTGTCTGAGAGGTCCCAGGCCAGCTGACCCCAAGGTACGACAGTGCATGGGTGAGCATGTGTCCTTTAGGGCCCGTCTGCCTGGGTCCCAGTCCCAGCTCTCTCCTCTGTGTCCTTGGTCAGAGGATTTAGCCTTCCCGTGGTCCTAGTTTCCTCGTCTACAAACTTGGGGTGGTGATAGTATCCATCTCATTGGGTTATTGTAGCAATTTTTATGAGAGGCAGTTTAGTATAAGGTTTAAGAATGTGGCCTCTGTCCCTGGCTGGTTTGGCTCAGCGGTAGAGCATCGACCTCCATTGCGGTTCGTCCCCGGCCCTGGTTGTGGTCATGTGGGAGGCAACCAGTCGATGTCTCTCTCTCCCTTTCTCTTTCTCCCATTCTATCTGAAGATAAATAGAAAACTATCCTTAGGTGAGGATAAAAAAAAAGAATGTAGCCTCTGGAGCTAAACTCTCCCCGGGTCCAAATCCTGTGACAAGATGCCATCCTCTTGGGGCCTCAGTTTACTCTGCTGTAAAATGGGGATTCAGTGAACAACTTCTGGGGGTCAGCAGCTGCAGAGGGACTGCCTGCTGTTTTCTCCTGAGTCTCTGACACAGCAGCGGTTCTGGGGGCAGCGTCTCAAGGGTCTGCAGACGGGGAGAAGGCCCCTGGTGCTGGGAGCCAGCTCTGGTCTTGCCACATGCCAGCCGCGGTGCCGGAACTTGGTAGTCACCATCTCCTCTACCCCTCCCAGGCACCCTGTGGAGTGGGCACTGTTCTTACATCTAGATGGGGCACCTGGGGCACCGAGGGCTTCAGTGACCCACCCAAGGTTGCCTTGCCAGTTACTAGAGGATCTGGGTGTGAAAACCAGTGCTAACCTCTGTACCATCCTGGGTTGGCCGACATCCCCAGGGACCTGGTCCTGTGACAATACTGGGGTCCCCGCTGAGACTGGGTGAGTGTCTGCCCACTTTGCCACTCACTTCTCTCCCCTGGACTGACCAGCTCACCCTGGTCCCGCCTCTCACAGTGAGGGAGGGCTCAGACTTGGTGCCACATGCAGCGAAGGGCCTGGAGGCCGGCGGGCTCGTGGGACTTTCGTGCAGGGAACACTGAGACGCATCCCTTCGTGTCTCCCCCGCCTCCCCAGAGGGTGAGGGGCTGGCCTCTCAAAGTAGGTGGAAAGTAGTGTGTCCAAGGTGAGATGAGGCCATCTCTGGAAGCCGCCTGCCTCTCCTGTCTCAGGCCTGCTAGGCGGGTGGAGAGCAGAGCCCAGGCCGGGCCAGCTCCTCTGGAACCTGCCAGGCGGCTCAGAGCGGAGGGCGGGGCACTGAGCCAGGCACTGAGGTCCAGATATCATCTCTGGCCCGAGCCGCACCTTGCCCCCGTAGTGGGGGGTGGCCCAGACGCCTGCTCCTCTGGGAAGCCCTCCGGGTGACCCTGACTTAACCCTCAGGGTCATGACTGTTCCGCACTGCCTGCGTCCCCACCCTGCTCCCAGTTCTGGATTCGGGTGGCACTGTGACGCCTGGTGTGCTCCTCCACTCGCCAGGACATCCCTGGCTAATCTCAGCAGCAAAATGAAGGGAGCACGATCCGCAGGGGACGTCTGCTCTCTGTAGGCTGACCTCCCAGGCTGGGGTGGCCCAGGTCAGTCATAGAGCTCATGGAATGCCCTCCTGCTGCAGTGGGGAAACCGGGGCTTGGGAGGGGAAGGGGCCTGCCAAAGGGGGAAGTGGTCCCCCTGAGAGGACCGCCCCCTCGTGTGATCTCAGCTCCTGCTGTACCAGCGACCACAGTGAGATGGTGCTGTGACGTTGCCTGGGGCCATGAGATGAGCCCTGGAGCCGATACTGAATCCAGGGGCTGACTCCACATCCCTTCCCGCTGCCTCAGAGCTCAGCTTACCCCACATGTGCACACCCCTACGTCAGGTGGCTCCCCAACTTCTCAAACCCTTGGGCGACAGGGAGCTTGCTGCCACACGGGTGGCCCAGTTTACCGTGGAGAGGCCCAGGGGATTGAACCGGAAATAGAGGGAAAAGGGAGAGTGTGCCTTGCACGGGGGCCCGAGGCCGGGGTGACCATGGTGCTGGGGGACCGTTTCGGCCCACCTGCATTCAGGCTAGGAGGAGAGGGGAGTGAAGAAAGGGGAATACTCAGTGGCAGCTCAATATCAAGAAGTTCCTGACCACAGAAGCCTCGAGGCCTTGGGACAGGTGACTGAGGGGCAGGGGAGCGCCTGCCCTCTGGGGGACTCCTTACTTTGGGAGCAGTACCCTTGCTGAACCCGACGGCCTGGTGTCTTGGTCAGATCGGGCTGCCACGACAACGTAACGCAGAGGGAGTGGCTTCCACAGGAGACATTTATTTTCTCACTGTTGTGGAGGCTGGAGGTCTGAGATCCAATTGTTGAAAGGGTTGTTCCACCGGAGGCCTCTCTCCTTGGCTTCTAGTTGTCTGTCTTCTCCCTGTGTCTTCACTGGTCTCTCCATGGTGTGTGTCTGTGTCCTAGTCTCTTCCTACGAGGACTCTGGTCAGATTGGATGAGGGCCCACCCATATCTTTTTAGCTTTATTTACTTCTTTAAAGGACCTATCTCCAAATAGACTCACATTCTGACTTCAACATATGAATGT